ATGACAGTAATTATAAGATTGTCATATAGAGGCTACCTAGATATGCTATTCAGTAGTTACACACATTTGTGGCTTTGTTCAACTGTTTTACTGTGGGTTTCCATAACTTTTGACAAAGATCTTTGGAAACTTCTAATGAAATTATTAGAGATTAACGTCTGAATCACCATTTTCTTTTAATTATGTTAATACAACATAAAAATCACAATTTCAAAAAGTCATGAAATGCAAAACTTGAAGTTTTTATGGAACCTAGTCTAAATTACACAGCCAGGGTAGTGTTGTATGCATATCAGCCACGGTTACACCTCCAACTCGTTGAGACTTCCCATTTCTGGAAGTTACGCTAAGTAAAGAGATTTGTTTTTAATTATGTGCCAGAAACCAATAAAACTAAGGGAACTGTTCAAATGAAGAGGCACTGCCAGAGGTTCAAGTGGAGAGTTCAACAAGACTCTCCACTTGTAGGGTGGTATATTCATGTAAGATACCTAGATAGCAAGTGTGAAAACACCAGCACAGAGGAGAGAGGGTAATTGGGGCCAATATCAGACAAAATCCAAAATATTGGGATCGTCCCTATAAAATTGAGACACCTGGTTACCGTATTCCCATGGAATTCATCATCCAAGTGAGAAGCCAGTCCAAACCTGTTTAACTTTAAAAAAAGAAATCAAATGAAAATGGAAAGATGTGAACTGTTTCTCTTGCATCTGCAGCAGGAAGCCAGATGGGAGGATGTTAGAGAAGGTCCTAGGCAGCAGCACTATAGCAAAGCAGAGAGAATGTAGCTTTATGGATAGTACATTTTTTAGTTTTTTCCTTATTCTAATATAATGCTTGTTCAGTGTTTAAAGAAAACTTTGTGGTTCTTTACCAAGACAGAAATCAGGGTAGGTGCCAGCACCTTGTTTCAAGCAACTCAGGTCTCTTCCTTTAATAGTATTATCCAAGGAGGCTGCCATCATTAATGGCTGCCATCAATCTCAGGCCTGGTTAAGCGAATGGATGTACTAACCACCTTTCTTTCCAGATAAATGGAAGGAGCAATTAATCCCGTTTGTGGCGTGAGATAGCTGGAGACAATAAAAGCCACCACTCAAAGCAATAGGCCTCATGGAGGAAACTGCAGGGCTAAGCCATGTGATCTGTGGATGGTGCAGAGACATAATTAAGCCGTGAATAGCCCCATTTACTTCCAAGGGCTATTCGCAGAGCACCTAGTTAAGGATGTGTGTATGTCAGTGGTCACCAACCAGTAGATCTGGGATTTACAGGTAGATCTTGAAGCCTCTTACAGGTGAGCCTGACTGGTTTGGCCAGGAGCCTATCAAGTGCCAGCACTTCAGCTGCCCCTCCCCCTACTGCTGTGTACCTCCTGCCCTTTGCCTTGGAGCTGCCACCCTCCACCCCTGGGAGCCTCCTTCTTGCTGTGCCGGGCAGGGGAGGGAGAAGAAGGGTGCTGATGTCAAGGTGTCCCCTCTCCTACCCTGTATCCTATCTTCACTGAGCAGAGAGGGGGCACCATAGGACTTGGGATGGAGTTTGCAGGCTGCTTTTGGGAGTGGTGCAGGGTCAGGGCAGGGGTGAGCCTGCCTTAGCCCGACTGCATCACCACCCAGGTAAGCAGTGCCCAGTTGAAGTCCACATCCTGAAACACTAACCCAGTCATGAACTCTCTCTTACACACGAAGCCCCCACTCTAGCCCTGAGCACCCTTGCATCCAATGCCCTGCATCCTACACCTAGAACCCCCTCAGATACCCCAACTGCCTGGCCCAAGCTCAGCTCAGAGCCCCTCTCACACTCCAAATCCCTTAATCCAAGTCCAGAGCCTGAACCCCGACCCACTGCTCTTGCCTGGGGAGGGAGGATGGAGTGAGCAGGGGCGGGGCCTTGGATAAAGGGCACAAAGGAGGCAGGGCAAGAGTATTTGGGTTTGAGGTAGATCTTGAATTGCACTTAAATTAAAAAAGTGATCTCATGCTTAAAAAGAGACCACTGGTGTATGTCATTGCGGGATTAAGACCTTATTTACACATAGCTACAGATATTTGGAAAACTGTACTTGAAAGCATTTTGTGAAGTCACAGGAAATAATGTAGCGTGCCTGGCCTGTAAATGATTTCTAAATCAGCTTTATTATTACAAAATTACACTTATTCTCCCAAAGAAGGCAGATCACATGCCACCATTCAGTACATGCTAAGTCTAAAGTTTTGAAACCGCCTTTTTATGTTAAAAAAATCTGAAAATGTCATTTAGTAGCTGAAAAATATTTCCTCTTCCACAACATGTTTGTATATCTTAAGGGGGATATTTATGAAACTTTTCCAATCAGTCGGTTATAGCTCAAAACCTAGAAAAAGCATTTCAGCTCAAAAGATTTTAAAAAATCATAACTGAAATTAGAGTGCAAAGAGGAATCTATTCCTGAACTTTACCTTTGCTTTTGCAACACTAAAATTGATTTGCAAGAGGTTTCTAGCCATTATACATGGGAATAATTATAAACAGTTATCAAATCTGTAGAATACATAAATCCGGAAAAATATGAATATAAACATCAGTAAATGACCGCTTGCAACTACCAGTTGTAGAAATCCAATGCTGGCTCTTAGCTGATCCGTAACATTGTAACACCCTAGCTTCTTCAGTAGAATGTCTCAAAGATCTTAGGGACAAGTGGAACAGTTATTCTCCTTCCTCTTCAAGTATTGGATGAGTAGGTTCCCTCAGTCCAACTTTCAGTTGTCCTACCTGCAAATATGTCCACTCTCTTCCTGCCCAGAAATCTTACCCCACCCCATTACAAACATTTCCTCTTTAGTAGAGTCTAATTATGATCTAACTTCTCTCTCTCTCCCTCTTCCAGAATTTCATCAGGAATTTTCTTGGGAAACCTCTTTGATTTTATGGATTTCAGATTCAAATTCAAGAGTAACATTTCTTCTCTTACACAAAGAAGAAATATGCCAATATGCAAGGAGCAAATGCTCTCATTGCTCCTTGCAAATTGCTTTTTGCAGTGCCTGTCTTTGCTGCTCTTCCCACCCAAGCAAGCTAACCCTCTAAATCGGGGCCTGGAATGATGCCCGAAAAGACAGGAGGTTACCTGTTCACAGTGAAGATTTTGGTGTCTGCCTTGTGCTGCTGTGTTTCCTCTCTCATGGAGAACAGAGTGGGGAAGAAAAGGGAAATGAAGTTGGTGGTGGAGCCATTGAGCATTCCGCCCTGGGCGTCAGCCTTCCATGGTAAAAAGGAGGAAGTAACTGACATGCCTTTCACAGTTATTTATTACAGGACTTTGCCCCCAAGTTCAGCATTTATTCCCTTTCCACAGCAGGGATTCCAAACAGTGGTGAGGTCAATCACGCTCATGCGTAATGCTTGCCTGAGCCTTAAACTTTAGTCTCGCTACAGCATGTGGCTCCAGTCAGACTCCTGAAAGGGCATCCTAAAGGGAAAGGAATTGGGCCTGATCCTCTTGCTTCAAGAAGGAAAAATGAACTCAAGAATCTCCTGCCAGTCCTGGAGGGCCACTGTAAAGGTATAAGCTACTGAGATTTATCCTGTGCAGCCTTGGAAAATGGAAAGGGGAAGGGACTACTCATCAGTTTGTGTTATTAAGCACTCTAGTTTTGTTAACACCAATGTTGTCAAACTCCTGAGAGAACAATTCTCCTTGTGGAGGACTCAAAGTGGCCCTGGATTCAGGAGTTCAGGGAAGTGTTAACCTCCTTCCAGTCCCACTGGAAATGCGAACAGTCTGACTCAAAGTCCAAGCCATCTCGGTGGCTCATTTTTCAATCTCTTGTTTCATGAAATGTCATCTCACTAGCACCCCAGTCTGCCAAGGAGCCCTCCAGCAACAATGCAGAAGTCAAGACCCAAATGAAAAATAATCCCTTTGGGCTCTCACGATCTATAACCAAGATGCAAAAAGGGGCATTCTGATTTCCACCCAGAATCCACTAGTGCCATGGAGAAGAACAGAGTTTTAAGATGCTAGGCAGCTCTTTGGCTTTATGAGGGGCTGGGGATGGAGTTCAGGAGGCTATTGGTCTTTTTTCACACTGTGAGCCGAGGCAGCCAAGCTGGGTGGGAGGGGCAGCAACTTTAAATGTAAGATTTCCTTACCCTGTCCCATTCTTCCGGTGCCTGGCTCTGCGGGGACGGAGGTGCTCCCAGCACTGGAGGGGGGAGGGATTGGAGTGCATTGGGATTGGCGGTGCTGGGGGGGTCTGGCTCTGGGGTAGGGGTGGTTGTGTTGTACTTAAAAGTACTGCATGGGATCTTTTTAGGGGGAAAAGGCAAAATGCCACATTTTTTGGTAATACACACATATAGCAGTCAACACTTATATGGAGGACTCGCCGAACTGCGGCGAGCCTCGCTCGCCAGCCGTGCTGTCCAGCGATCTGCGCATGCGCAGATCACCCGAACCCGGCTCTTCCAGGTTGCAATCTACTCACCCTGGGCGAGTAGATTGCATTATTTGTCGAGCCCTGCCCATTACATACTGAAATAGACGATACCAAAACCTTGACATCCTGTGGTGAAGGCACATAAATCTGAATGGTTTTAATACAAATTACTGTTCTGTAGTGTTTGTCCATAAGTTAAATTGACATTTGTTCACCAGTAGTTAAGTGCTAGCCTTCAGGACTAGTGAAAGCAATAATGTCAGGAGGTCGATCCTCATCAGCCTAAACCACAGTGAATTCTCCACACATTGCAATCCAAGTCCCTGCCCAAGCAGTTACCAAGTCGCATTGTGTACATCCAGAAATCCTTGCTTGCCTATCACAGTAAAGTACGCTTTCCAACTTGTCAGATGAACAGAACGTTGGCTTTTGATTGTCCCATTGTTCTCGAATCTGGCTTCTACTTTTCTCCAACCATTGTAAGTGCCCAGAGGTGCTTTTCATTCATGCCTTATCCATTCGCACCTCATTCACTCAACAGGACAATCAATTTAGCAAAAGGGGGTACAAAGTCTACAAGATACAAGGTTTCTATGAAAAAAGGCTTAATACAAAGTTTCTATGTTCTATAAAAGTATACAAAGTTTCTATAAAAGGACTTAATACAACAAACTTGATACAAAGATAAAATAAAAAAAAATTCAATGAGAAAATGATGAATACAGAGATTAATGAGATTTACCTATAGTTGATTTGGTATGGAGGGTGCTGGGGTGCCTGCTCTGGGGAAGGGGTGAGTGCATTGGGATTGGGGGGCACTGGGGCACTTGGCTGAGGAGGACGGGTGAGTGCATTGGGGTAACTTATAATATTTTTTAAATAAAAGATACTTTATAAAAAAAGGAAAAATTTAAAAAACAATAGTTAGGTAGCACTTTATTTTTATTTATTTTTTATTTTTTTGCTGACTTAGAAATAATAACAGATCCACAGTAACAAATGATTGGGGGGGAGGCACAAATTTGGCCTTTGCCTCCGGGTGCATCACACCCTCACTACACCTCTGGTTCAATTGGCCAGAGGGCGGGACAAGGAGGACTGAGGTTCAGGGCTTTCCATGGTCTGGATTTCCTCTTTTGGGGTTTCAGGATTAGTGGATTTTGTGCCCCCCCCAAAGCTCTGGGGTGTGAACAAAAATGAGGGGTTCTTCAGGACAGGGCTACCGGAAAGGGGAGTCTCAGTGCACAGAGTTGCTTTTAGCTTCGCTTCGCTCTGCTTCTTCCCCATGAGGCAGATCTGGCGGGGAGGCTTGGGGCTCCTTCCTCCCCCAGAGGAAAGCCACTGCTGGCACTCCCACTATGCAGGGGGTGGTGGTGCAAAGTTGGAATGACAATGCGGGCTCCCTGCTTAGGAGGGAGGGAGGGAGGATGGAAAGGTGGGAAGCTGAGCTCAAGCCATGGACCAACTGGAAGGCAGTCCTAGACCACTACTGGACCGCAGTTTGAGAACCACTGCTATAGTACAAAAACTTGCTTACAAAATCTTCCTATGCTTTCTGTCTATCCCTGCTGTAATCTTTCTTTTTCCGCCCCCTTGTTGAAGAGAGCCCTTAAAGGACAATATCTCTTTTCTTCGAGATAGCTGGACAAATGAGTTTCCCTTTCTGACTATTTAATTAACTGGTTTTAAAAGAATCCTTCACCAAATCAGTACGGGGGTAAGATATAAAATCATTTGTTATGTCTAAAAACTTTGGAAACATATTTTTAACATAAACATATGGTGACATTTCATAAATATGTCTATTGTTATGAAGATCACACAAAATAAATTAGTGTACCCTTTTTTCTAAATGTAATGAACTTTGTTATGAACACACTAAACTGCTCTGACTGATTAATTTAAAATAATGTCTTTGTTTCAGTGCATCAGATATATAGTATCTGGAATGATTACTTTTTGAAGGCTTAAAAGTACATTTAAAATATAAAATCAGCTTGAAATACTTATTAAGAAAATGTAAACAACAGAACAGCTGCATCTTGTATTCTGTATTTAACGTTGTATTCATCAAGACAGCTGACTTGCCCTTATTACAAAGTTTTTCACATAAATCTCTGACAAACTTCCAGGTACATCAGAAAACCTGAGATTAACAGTTTTTATTCCCAAATTAAGGGTTTTTAATTAGGTACCTTCTGCATGTTTAGTCTTCACAGTCTGGCATGCAGTAGAAAACATGTTCCATTTTCTTTGGAACCATCTCAGAGGGTAGCCATGTCAGTCTGTAACTTTAAAAACAACAAGTAGTCCTGTCGCCCCTTAGAGACTATCAGTAATATATACTATCATGAGATTTCATGGGCAAAACCCACTTCCTCAGATGAGCTTCATCAGATGTCCAGCTCATCATCTGATGAAGTGGGTTTTGCCCACAAAATTATACTGTATATATTTTTGTTAGTCTCTAAGGTGTCCCAGAACTACTCTTTGTTTATAGAAGGAAATTGTAGAAGAGTATTCTTTTCAAATGTAATTTGTTACATTTGGGTTCAGGGATTTGGCTGGAAGGGATGAGCAGGGAAGGGGAGAGACGAGGGAGACAATGGGGAGAGGGTAGGATCTGAGCAGAGTGGGGGGATAGCCTGGGGCAGAGCAGGGGTGGAGTTTGGGCAGGGCCATAGCCTGGGGAGCTTGCCTTCCCATGCAGCAGCTTCACCCACTGCCTGCGGCCGCTTGCTAAGGGACTCTGCAGTGTGTCTATGTGTGGGTGTGAGAGTGGTAGTTTGGAAGATCACTAAACTGTATGCAAAGAGCTGTGGAGTCTAGGACTGTTCTACAGAGAGTGAATATATTCATTGTTCAGTACTGTTATGGTTGTGGGACTCTGCAATATCCACATTTATAGTTGTAATTTGTGGTGACAAGGTTAAGCAGAGGCTTGGAGATAATGTTGATAAGTTTGGTCAATATTGATGAATAAATAAATGTGATAAGAGTAAAAACTGTTTAGTCCAGATGACACTAAATCTTGCAGGTTTGGAGAACAATACACCAGTAGGGACATCCATTGACGGAAGTGTTTCTTCCCAACAGCTCCCTACTTAAGAGATTTCTCTCTGGATCAGAAGGGTTTAAATAGCACATGGCACTAGTGCCTCTATCTTTGTGTAAGTCACACAGAACTCAGGCTTTCCATACTGCAGAATCACAGATGCTGAGCACAGGTTTATGTTAGTCCCAATCGCATTCTTGAGGTTTCTGAAGAGGTGTGGCTATGGATGTAACAACTAAATGCTTTACTGCTCAGCCAGAAACCCAAGCCTTTGGTAACTGCCTGTTATTCTCCTCCCTTTACCTAAGCAGACTTGTAATGGTAAATCACTGATGACTGTGGTTAATTCTAAAGACACATTGTAAATGAAGCTGATTGAATAAAAAAGTACATACCAGCAAAGGACTTTCAAGTACATCCCCTGATTTTCTTTAGCATCCTGTTTCCTAAGGAAGGTTAATTTCACTCCAGCCACTTCATGTTGTTGGGCTGAAAAGCAGATCCAGAAAGCTTTTGGATCCGTGGTATTGCACTCTTCCACTCACACAATGTGGGGCTTCTTTACTCTGGTTGTTAGAAGGCAGGTCATGCTCCCCTGCGGAGCAATCTCATTACGGTCTGAGTGTCTCTCCATCCTTCACTTTGGAATGCAGCCAACAGAGCATTAAGAGCATATACACAAACAGGCATGCAAATACTACACAGAGAGCTGTAACACGGTTAATATCTTATTGGAATTGACATAGAACTCCTCAGTATTTCTGAGGTAGCGACTCATTGAAAGTGACAATTTTTTCTGTAGCTGTGCAGAGCGCATACAGAGAAGGAAGAAGACCATGTGGCTCTTTGCAAAGGGTCCTGTTGACCAGCCAATGAGAGACCGGCACAGCAGTTGGCAAGCTGTGGTATAGCAGTAGGAGCAGGATGTATCCTGAGTGACGTTCATCCTTTCAACTCAACGGATGTTCGTGGATCTAAACGCACCAACTACAAGTAACCTATACATGCTGCAAACTAGTCATTGACATTCGTCTGTTCCTTAGGCATGCCCCTAGTGTCCAGCTGCATAGTATATGTTTCCAGAGCATTGTGCAGTGGTCAGGAAATCTCACCTCATTGTATGGTAGGTTTTCTAGGGGGCTGTGATCCACCCCTGTTCACACTCCACCCACTACTGTAATAATATTTTTACAAGGCATGTATGGGTGGTAGGTCAACCTAGGGCTAGGGGACCTACCCCAGTCCCACCCCTTCTGCCCAAGGCCTTGTCCCCTGCAGGAGCCAAGCCCCCCCCCCCCCCCCGGGTTCCCTCCTGTGCCCCACACAAGCTCCCTGTCACCGCAGTGGCCTCCCCTGCCCCAGAACATGGAGAGGACAGGCGGGGGGTGGCCCCAGCCTCTGAGAGTACAGGGAGGCCCCAGAGAACAGGGAAGGCAGGTGTCCCTAGTCTCCAGCCCTGGAAGAAGGCAGGGCGCACTGTCCCAGCATCCCCAGTCTCAGTGCAACTGAAGCCTGAAAGCTGTGCTGAAGCAGGGGCTGTTCTGGGAGTGGAACATGGATGGGGCCATGCCTGGCAGTTTGGGAAGCAGTACCTTCTCTTGCCTCTTATCCTGCCCACCCATGATGAAGGCATGTATTATAAGGCATAGTCGCTGGTCAGTATTGTCCTGGTGAAGCATGTGTGGCAATACTGTACGTGAAGTTATAGGATTTCCCTGTATGGTGTTATTAACATGTTTCAAACTCCACAGCCCTGCCCAGGCAAAAGTTGGACAGGTCTGTCCTAAACAAAAGAATGTGTGCTTGCCTTAATAAAAATTAAAGCTGTAAACAGTCATGAAACAGGCGAGAAAAAGCCAGCAGGAAACATCTGTCCACATAGACTCTTTGTCTCCTGGTGCCCAGGGTTTGGTCAGTAAGACTGCTGAAAATACGTGATGGAAACTGCTTGAATATGAGATATAAAATATTTTAATGCTCTTTTATTCTTCTTGAAACCATTTCTGTAACCTTCTGCTTCTACTCACTTAAAATCTCTTTATTGTTAACCTGTTTTACTGTTTTCTCTAATCCAGTGCATTTAAATTGAAATGTCTGAATAACTATTTGAGCTAAGATGGCATAGGAATAATGGACTTCAAACATTTCTAGGAGACGATGGGGTGGTGCATCACATAGATTCTGAGGGAAGTTCAGCACAAGTGGCGTTTTGGGGTCACCCTGCAGTATAACTTAAGTTCTGGTGCAAGCCAAGTGTGGCTGGCGGAGCATCTTAAACCTCAAATCTGTATCAGATTGAGTCTCCCTCTGTTGTGAGCAGCCTGGAATAACGATCTGAGGAAGTGGGGCTGGCCCACGAAAGCTCATCATCTAATAAACCATCTTGTTAGTCTTTCAAGTGCTACATTGTCCTGCATTTTGCTGGCATAGGACTGATGTTGATGTTCCTGTCAACCTGCTCCACTGCAGGGACCTTTGCTGCAAGCCAATTAGACTGCTCCCTAGAGTGGAACTGAGGTTATCAATGGCTTTGGTCCTTGGACTTGCAGCATCCCACATCCACTCTGGTTTAAGTAGCGCTGATGTCACTCTCCTCTGCGCGTCCCTTCCCTTCTCCTCTTCTCTCCCGCAGCTGAGTCCTGGCTGAGGAAAGCGATTGTGCTGCTCCATCTGTCAGCCGCGTGAGGGCCCCTGGATTCCTCTGCTGGCGCGGTCACCCCTCGGATTCGCGGGGCTGCTGCCTGAGGGGCTGGTCCCAGGGCGCTGGGGGGCCCCTGTCAGGGCTGGGCCCGGCGGAGGGAAGGGCGCTCTGCAGCCAGGCGCAGCGAGGCTCTGGGGGACACCCCCGGGGCGGGGACATGCTCCGCCAGGGGGCGGACGAGGGCGGCTCTGGCCGAGCTTCACCCGCCGGCTGAGGGGGCCCTGACAGGGGGACCCGACCGGACGGG